GCCCTCTTCTCCCGGAGGGAAGAAAGAGGGGGGCAAACGACGAGTGTCAGGCGATGGTGCGTGGCGCTGCGAAGCAGAAATTGATCCGTTTGCTGATCGCGGAGGACGGAGGACAACGACTCTGGAACGCAATCCGTTCTTCGGGTCGCCGCCTCTGTTCGCCCTGTGTTGCGCGAGTCAACCCGCCGCGGGCTCGCGCCTGTCACGAACCGAACCGAACCTGATCGCGTTGCCCCCCCGACCCGACTGCAGACCGCCCTTCCAACAATAGACCTCCGAATCATGAGGGCGAACCGCCCGTTTCAAGCAGAAGGCCCTGCAGGAGTATCAAACCCCAGAGCGCGTGGCAAAAAATGGAAATGCCATGGTGACAACGAGGAGAACGCGCGGGGATGGCGATTGCGATGGCGAGGAGAAGGAGAAAAGATAGGCGACGCGAAGTATTCAAACAATTGTCGGGGCTCTTGTTTAACCACCTACATGGGTGCGCTGCCAAGCTCACCACGTTGCGATGGTCAGAAGTCAGGGCCCCCTGTGGCCAGAAACTGTGCATCCATATATTCAGTGTGCTCCCAGCGGAGGGTCGCTTGGAGGCTCGTCTCTAGCCGCGTTGTTATGGGCGGCTCAGGCAACGCCGACGACTTTTGTCGCGTCTGTCCTGGGGATTTCAATGCGTTCGCGATCGAGGGCGTTCGGAGGTGGTATTCTGGCAGATCATTACGCCACTGCTCGGCGGCCTCTTCAGATGCTGCCCCTCCCGTCTGGCGCCATGCGCTGCGCAACTCGGTCAAGGGTGTCATGTGCTTGCGCCGTCCGGGCGCGCTCCAGGCGCGCTGGGCGGACGGCGCTCCTCTCCCTGCGTGCGTTGATCAGACGGCTGGGGGCCCCGTCCGTCCTGGCTGGGCGTTTTGGCGGAGCTGTGAAGAGGTGATGGGCCCCCGCTCGCAGCGGTTGCCTCCCGTTTTTTGTAGGAGGCCCCGGCGACGAGTCCAACCTTCCCCCTTGAGAGCTCAACAGATGCTTGAGAATGGCTTGTGCGTTCGGGGTGGGGCCACTGCCGTCTGCAGCTCATATTGTAGGCCATGCTGGAAGGTGTGCAATCACTATGCGTCCGGGCTTCCATCCTGATCGCGGAATGCTTGTCTCGGATTTGTTGTGTTGAGGAGTGGTTTACCTGGAACGAGAATTAGCGTGGTCTTTCGAAGCGCGCAAGAGTGTGGCGCGACATCTTCGCTGCCGCTCGTCATCGTTCGGCCGATCGTCCCGCTGTGCGTTCTCCAGGTATGCCTGAGCGCCGTGCCATCGACGGAGTTGTGGGGGTGGACGCCTCCATCGGGGATTGGCTCGGCAGACTTTTGCGCCAGATGTTGGGCAGCCTCGCGCATGCTGGCTGGGGCGGTCAGCCAGAACGTCGCCGCTGGCTGACCGCAAAAACGTCTTGGCATGCATGTCGTGGGGTGTCCTTGAAGTGGCGACGTCTCCGAAACACGGTCGCGACACGCCCCCTGGCCCAAGGCCCTTTGAGTGGCGACCCCCTTTGATCGTACAGCGCAATGGTGATCATGATTTGCATGTTTGCAAACGCCTTGGGATCTCTTGGTGTCGCGTCTGTGGCACGAACGATCGGACTTCTCCGTCTCTGGATTTCCCATGACGTGGGGGAAGGCGCACATGTGCTCCGAGTTTTGTCGCCCGTGCTCTGAATGCAGAGTATGTCAGGGCCTCTGGGGGGAAGTGGGAACCTCTCTGTCTGTCGCCCGTGTAGCCGCTGCGCTTGCTGCCGCTGCCCGCTCTGGTTTCCTGATGGGTTTCGGGGGGGGCCAAGTTTTCTCGTGTCGGCGATGTTTCCTGAGGGCTTCCCCCCTTCCTGATGTTTTTTTTGTCTGTGCCGCCGTTTCGGCTTTCAGGTTCCCCTTTCCTTTTTGGGTTGTCTTTGTTTTCGGACGCACTCTTGGTTGCCCGGCCATGCCCTTCTCTACCGTTTTTTATCCTTACCCCGTTCCTGTTCCTTGCCCTCGTCCTCCTCCTCTTCCTCCTCCTCCGCCTCCTCCTCCTCCTCCACCTCACCACCTCACCCTTGTTTCGCCTCGCAGTTCTAGCATGTCTGGCCACCAGGCGTGCCAGTACGCTGGGCCAGCCTTTTTGCCTTGCATGTCCCCACATGCGTATAGTATCGAAATTCGAAAAAGGCAAAACAGGTTCACCCGCTACACGGATGGAGTTCGGGTGGTTTCCACAGTCGTGTTTTCCTTGTAGCGCCGTGCACATTCGTCTTAAGCGTTTGATTTCAACGTCTAGCCGATGGATGCGGGAGTGGGGACAGCATGGGTTACGCAGCGCTCTTACGACACGCGCAAGTGTTCCAAACAGTTGGATCAGTCGCGCGGGCAGCCGTAGAGGGTTGTCTTCTATGTGAGGTTCTCGCACACGAACGCTTCGAGCTCGCATGGCCCCGCCGAAGCACGGGCGACACATCGTGCACCAGTTTCACAAAGGGCGG